TACTTTCCTTTCAATCATCCGACTAATTTATTAAGAATAATTTTTGAAATAATTTATATATTGGAAAAAGAATTAAATTGTGTTTAGTTCATTATTGATGAAATAATTGGTTTCTCTTGCTAAATCATATATATATTAGTCGAATCCATGAGTCAGTGAAAGCTAGACTACCATTGAAGACCTGGAAGTGCTGGATGACCGTTTCGTTTTAGTTTGGGACTCCTCAAAAGTGCACGTCCATGATCCCTCACGCGCGGATGTTTAACCTTTGGACCACTGAGCCTACATCTAACTTTAAACAAACAACGATTTTGCGTCCACCATTGCATTCAGTGAGTAATTGCCTCACAAATGACACGGTTGAACTCCACTGGTTACGTCTTCTCACTAGGGCTCCAGGACATACCTCTTGAAACCAATCATGAGACTGAAGGTCCTTGGTTTGAATCACACGTACGGGATCGTGGATGCACACTTTTGAGGAGTCCCAAACTAAAAAGAAACGGCCATCTAGTGCTTCCTGGTCTACAATGGTGGTCTATTTTTAATCGACTCATGAATCTAGATCTACAAACCCCCATTCTGATAATAATCATATATATTATTTCTCTTCAACAAAATGATACATGCTGAAACGACTTTTTCAAGATTTTCAGTTTTATTACTCTATTGTTAGTTTTCAATGTCTTTGTTTATGAACAAACGCTGTTAATGTTTATTTAAAATGGTTATTTTATAATAATGTCATTGATTTACTATTCGTTCAAAAACTCATATGATATTTCCTTTTGGATAACAAACCAGTAATTACTCATTATTGCAATTGGTAATGAATAAAAGACAATGATTGTTATTTTCTCCAATAAATATGAGTAAAATTTTACAATATACTGATTCTGTCTTGATCTAAGTCAATTTACATTATGTCATTATGACCATGTAGATAATTTATATATAATAGCACACAATTTGCTTGTAACTCGTTCTTATTTTTGGAAAGGGAAGCAACAGTTATAATTTAGATGAACTTAACGAGCATTTGATCTGATTATATGACTATTCCTATCATAAAATAGGATTCTTTGATTGTGGTCAGAATTCACAATACCTTATAATAGATTTTTTTTTAAAGTATCTCTGATCAGTTTATATAAAATAGATTTAATAGATTTAATCATTTGAAAATTTAATTCATTACCCATACAGTCTTAATACTTTCGGTATCATCATGAAACATATTGAAGGTTCTCATATATTCAGTGTTTGTTACTAGTTGAAGCAACTAATAGTGAGTTATGATAAAATTAATTTTCAAATTATTGAATTTTATTCAATTATTAATTTCACATTAAAAACATATTATAGTACTTATTTTTAACAACAATTTACTTCTAAATAAAGTCCAATGCTTCCAGGTTTTCAATGGTGGTCTAGCTTCAACTGACTCATGATTTCAACCTGTGAAATTTCTTAAACTCTCCACAAAACCCATTCTGAAAGTTCTATCCATGAAAGATATCTTATATGACCCATGTAATCTATGTTTCTTTAATGGTTTTTATAGGGTAATAAAAATGTCTTTCTTAATTGAAAAATAGATGAAAACATGTTTAGAATAAGTAAATGGAATATAATCAATAGTGTTTGTTGAGTATACAAGTAAGCTTGTTTACACATACACACACACACACATGATAAGAAAACAAGAGAATAAAAGTTGTAAACAACATTGAATACAATAGTAAAGTAACAGTTTAGTAGAAAATAATTTGACATGGCAATTCAAAAGAAAAGTATGATGTATACAAATAGTGTAGCGTTGTTTATTTGTGGCTGTTCATTTAAATAAAATTCTTTGATAATTAACTATTAAATCAATCGTAAAAATTATTTTTAGAAGTAATCATATTAGAGATAACGGCAGTAAGCTATATATCTATATATATATATAGAAAGGACAAGAAGATAGAAGAAACAATGACAATCTGTTTTTTTTCATCATGTTATATGACAGTTGGTTTTTTTAATTATTTACCTTTTCTTTTCATCTACTATTAGGAGTCTTGGTGTATACATACTGACATACGTATGTGTTAAAGCACTTATTACTTACTTACTTAAGAGATTTTCTACTGTTGTTGTTGCTATTGTTTTTATTTGTATCCATGAAACATAAAGGAATGAGGAAAGATTTTAGAATACTAGTTAACCTGATGAACAATAATTTTCCCTTATGAGTTGACATTAATTTTGAAAATATTTAGTTATGTCTCATATGTACACTTGTTAGTTTATATATGGAATTTATATTAAGTTTTTATATTAATGTTCAATCATTTTAAAAACAATAAACAACATTTTTTTAAAGAAAATAATTGTTTACTTTATAAAGATTATAATTATTATGTTAACATGTGTGCATATTGCTTAGGTTTGTGGAAGTTTGATGAATATTTTAAATGATCGTAGACATGTTCCCTGTTGTTATATTTTCTTGTCATTGTGGGATGGAGTTGGATGTACATACATATAGTTACAAGTAAACAAATTAATACGAAAAATCTATATTATGTTCCTGCTTCAAAAAAAAATTCAAAGAAAATCTCATGTATGGAATATAAAACATCATGCCCCTGATATTTAACCAGATAGATGTAGACAGTGTTCTAGCATCTCATAAAGACAAATGTGTCAAGAGAATAGTTGATCATCTTATATCTATTGATACATTTGATTCGATAATTTTAATGTTTGATTATATTCCCTAGAAACATTTTGGACCACATTGCTGGGCAAAATGTTGAATTTACTTCAAATATATTATTCCTCGTTAATGTCTCCTATCAACTCAGCGTCCAAATATTGTGAAACTATTTGATCAAATTTAAACGAAAGATCTTAGTTTTTTAAAAAAAACGTGTTGGATTCTTGTCAGATTAAATAAATGATGGTGTTATGTAACTTTGTAGAAACCCTTTGTGTATTTCGAAAGCCATTTTTACCAACAAATAACACTTAATAAAGAACTTTATAAAGCTAGAGAAGATTGAGTGAATGAATCATCCTAGTTTTTATACTCTTGCAGTACACACAGATTACTATATGGAGGATGGAATCGATTACAATCAAATCTTGAGAAGAGAATGATACATCGAATCCGCTAAGTTAGGCAGGAAAAAAATTATATTTTCAGCTGCAGTTATTTTGCAAAATAAGGCAGTAATTCATCAATTTGATTGAATAAATTTCTATCATGATACTTGAGTGCATTGAATTTGAACCTTTTTTTTTAAATTGTGGGTGCCTATTACTGATAATCTTCATACTCTGATAAACCAGCCACTAAGTGCTCCTTGATTTTTAATGACTTCATAATTTGAATTTCATGTAATAAATTACAAACCGATGTTATATATTAACTAAAGTTAACTAATAAATTGTCGAATTAAGTCTACATCTTAACACATGATTTAAATCATAGGTTAAGTGGTCAAAACATACAAGTTCATAGATTCGATATACGTTGGTAACGTTTTATTAGTGAAAAATTGGACATAAACTAATAAACCTATCTAATATAATATCTAAGTTCATCGTACCTAGTTTTAAGCATTCGGATGCTATATACTTGAAGCTATGAACTTAAAATTTCTTCTTTTAAATGTTTTCACTGGTAAACAAAGACTAATATAACCCTCAAGAAATAATCTTCAGTAACCAAGATTCCTATTACAGCCGTACCATCCTATCAGTAAAATACTTTGTCTCATCATTGAATGTTGGAATGTTTAAAAGTGATTCATAAATTCTAGAGATTGAAAAGAGAATGTTGCTGTTAAGCTTAGAACACAAAATTTATGTCTCGTATAAATCATTGACGAAATCATATCGACCTTAATCTTGATATTACTATTACTGATAGATCAATTTTTTGAGTTTATACCTGGTGATTTGTTCCCTCCGTTTTAAAATTCCTGGTGTGTTTAAATAAAAAGAAACAGTTTAGGTGCTGAATGGTTTGGTCCTGGTCACCCGCTTGAACATCAATCAGCAGTCAAGCGCTATGACGCATTATTGCTTATATCAATGCATGTAGACACTTGTGGACACACATTCAACTGGAAAACTGTTGAGGTCTTGGATAGAGGTAATTCTAAAAACACAGGAGAATTTTTAAAAGCTTGATACTCGGGTCGATTGGCAATTAACAAACACATCGAAATTGACCCAATCTATCAACCATCCAGAAAAATCATGGACGAATATAGGATCAAGAATCAAATTAATTAGAGATATAATAAAAATAAAGAAATAGACAATGACAGATTAACGGTCGAAAATAACTAATCAAGATCAAGGTTTACAGGACAGTCTGTGAGTCATATGTAGAGAAATTCTAACACTTCGTTTCTATTCGAAGTTTGTGCTGATTATGTCGTACAGAAGAACAATGAAAGCTTCAAAACCAAACCATCGAACTTAGAGAATAAATCTCCACCTAAATCATCTATCTGAGCTAAGAATCTTCACTACCATACTAAAAAGGAATATTGGTCAACTAAGGGAGGGTTAATTGAGAATAATCCTAATATTTATCATTTATTGATTGAGATCATGAACCGATTGATGTTAGACCACCATTAAAAACCTGGAAGCACTGGACGGCCGTCTCGTCCTACTGTGGGACTCCTTAGCAGTGCGCATCTGCGATCTCGCTCTCGGGGTTCGGACTTCAGGGCCTTCAGTCTCGCGCGAACGCTTAACCTATTAGACTGCTGAGCGGGCATCCAATGATGTTAATGTCTAACCTTAACCAATCCACGAAATTGCGCGACCACCTTCTATTGTACTGAGGTAGAAACCTGCCTCTACCCGACACGGATTTACTTTAATTAAAAAAATATAATATAATGAAAATTTTAATTGCATTATTGCGAATATGTTTTAAAACCGAAATGCATTACACACAGAAATATATCTATTAATACTTGTCTACAAACCTACTATTATTGGGAATATCTTTTTCCATTCTACAAGTGAACTGAAAAATAGTAGGTGAATAAACATTGAAATGTTAATCGACATAACCATTAAAATTTCCTATTTTTCTTTAGATTTAATTACGTTACTATTTTTCATATAGAATAGGAAAAAATTTAAAATTATCTTTTTGTCACTTTAAAAGGTAAACACTTTTAAATCAGTCAGTCAGTCAGCAACAACGTAGAACTTCGTACGTACGTACATCAATTCAAGTTGTCATACCACATTAGCACACAGATACAATTGTTGATTCAAATCCCGTAGTGGTAGAGGTAGTAATCGGAAAGATGAGGGTTTGAAGATGTTATTCAAGGAGTATAATCCAGTGAAATAAATTTGGAAAGAGGAGAAAAAGGGACATGAAGAATTCAGAAGATTAGAATTTGGGAGAACACAAAGAGTGGATGCACCTGGTCCATTGCAAACAATTTTGATCCATGTCATTCAAGATCTCTAACCATCGGTTTTTATCGTATCATGGATCGCAATCAGGTAGTTTACACCTACCAACATGGCTAGGTCCACCTGTCAGTGACTTCATGAATTTATACCATGTTTTGATCTGGTAGCCCTTAGCTTTCATCTAAAGTTAGTTATAAAATTAATGAAATACTACTGAACTATTGCTAAATTATAGATTAAGCTGAATGTGTCGCTATCTCAAGAGATCGATCACTGAATATTGAATTGTTAATCAAGTATGTCAATATAAAAGATAACAACATTATGAAATTGTTGTACACTGAGTTATTTTTATTTTTCATACCTATTTCATATGTTACATCTTATTCTATTCATAACTAAGATACATATCTTTCAAGTTAGATTTCATCTACTCACTAATTGTATGTAAGAAATGGGATATCCTATTCTAGTCAAATTGATTCAGAAATCGTTGAGTGATGCAAGTTTAACGTATACTTACATAAGTTAAAAATTCACATCATTCCAATTAACTATTTCAGTCACATCTGTTTAGTCAAATGACACAGATTTAAAGATTATATTGATTAAAGTCTAATATCTACATACTTGTCATTAGTGACTGAAATCAATTTCTAAAATTTTTTGAAAATTTGATCGTTGTATAAATAGTTTATAAATGAATTAAAACAACAACACCTTGGCACATCTCATTGATAGCGGTCATGCTGTAGATAAATCGAAATCATTTCGAGTGATCTATCGTATACCTCCATCATTTCCCAACGAAGTTCGTTCTCGCCTCCTACATATAGCTGAAGCCATAGGAATTCGTACATATAACCCCAATTTATGTGTACGGAAGAAATTCTTAAGCCCCCTATCCCTCCCATGGCCAGTTATAATTTAACTAACGATTTTTTTATTGTTATCATTTATTTATTTTATTCTATTTTCGTTATCATTAGCCTTATTTTCACATCTAGTATTTGTATGTAATTTTCCGCCTCTTGCCGTTTGTATTCTTCACTATCTAATTATTTACACACTTCTTATTACATAATGATTTTAATATTTTGTGATGATTATTCCAAGCCTATTTACCCACGATTGACCTTCTATTTCCAACGTTTAACTATTGATAAGACTTTTGTTATTGTATTTTATTATTCCTACTACTATCAGTACGACTGTCTTCCTACTATCAACTTGTAGTTTCACTTATTATTTGTGGTGACCTATTCTATTTCATTGTGATTATTGACCCATATTGCCTCGATTGGTTTAATATTTTCGTATACATATTCATGTATATTAGAGTAAATCCTGATGACGATCTAATTGAAAACAATTGTTCACTTATATGTGTTGTTCTAATTTTCTCAACGAATTCTTTCTAGTAGTTGTGTTTTATTAATTTAATGATTTTGAAAGGTTTCCAATTGGAATAATACAATTAAACATCAATGGGAAGATACAAACAAAACAAGATCAAGTGAATGAATGTCTTTTGTTTTTGTTATTTCCTTCAGTTAATGTCAGTATGGAATGAAGATTTATTAAATGAAATAAACAACTGATCACAATTTATCTTAATAATTATTGACTTATTGGTGAATGCGTTAAAAAATTTAAATACTGCTGATTATATTTTAACGTCGAAAGTTAAATACCTATGGTTTAATTCAGGATTAGCTCTTCAATATGTAATGTTAAGAATTTGCAAAATAAAACTAAATGTCCATTCATCTCTATTTGACTCTTAGTAATATTAGTTTGTGATTAAATTTAATTTTAAAATAATAACTTCACTTAATTCAAACCTCGTTAATACAGTATTATGGTCAACTTTACTATCAACTATTTAGAGTTGTCATAGTGATGATATGTAGTACAACTTTATCTTAGGCAATCTCTATTTGGCTGTACATTAAACCTTACAGCTTAGAAATGAGCTAAATGATTGATATGCAAACTAGTGTATGATAAATTAAACAGTAATAAGTGCAAATTGCTTTCAGTATAAGGGTGTAAAAATTGATGAATTTCATTGAAATCATGAATCGATTTAAGTTAGACTACTGTTGAAAACCTGTGAGCACTGGATGGCCGTTTCGTCCTAGTATTGAACTGCTTAACAGTGCACAGAACTCGAACTCAGGACCTACGGCCTCGCTTAATTTCCAAATCATTGAACGGATATCTAACGGTGTTGATTTCTAACCTTAATCAGTCCACGATGTTGGATAGCCATCTTTTATTGTTTGCAGTGGTCAACTACATTATATCATTTATTATTATTATAAAAAAAGACTAAGATTGAATTTTTCTGATGGTTCATTAAATAGTTTAATGGAATTTTCATCAAGGTTCAGACAGTTAAGCAAAACATTTAAACCAAAAAATTCTAATTTATTAATAATTCATATCTCGTTATTTCATCACACTTGATACCACAACAACGTTTTTTTCCACCTAATTTGGTAATTTAACACAATATATTCAGTAAACGGAATGCACCCATTAAGACATTAAATAAGAAAGATTAGTTCAGAGAGAAGTTCTTTTTTCGGCGAATTCACTTTCAAAGCTATACTATCGCAAATATATATATACTTATTTGTCAGGATGATAATAATTATAATAATACTGATAATAAACTTCTGTTAGACATGGTGACAATATGGCAAAGTAAACAAAAGTATTAAAAAATTTTTAAACAATGAAAACTTAATAATCGTATAATTGTTAAAGGCTTAAGTATTCATCAAATGATAGATAGAGAAATTATCATTGGGAAAGGATGGCTCAGCATGATAAGATAAAATGTTATATTTGAAATGAAATGTAATCGGAAGACTCCCAGAAATAAACCATTTGGGGGTAGGAGTTTTAAAAGGAAGATGGAAGGAGAAGCAGATAGCTGTAAAGGAAGAAAATGACAAGACTTTGAGATCATGGTAGGAAAAGAGGTTGTACCAATCTCTTTTGCACACACAATTCTGGTTTTTTCCAGATGTATGTCTATTATAATCAGAATGGGTTTTTGTGGAGAGTTTAAGAAAA